CCAAAATCTATCGAAATAAATAAATTTAATAAAAATTGTGCTCTGCAGGCAAAACGAGATTAAATTTGCTAGATTTATTGGTGGATTTACGATAATGCGAGTTCAAAAACCGTTATCCACAATCATTTACAGTAAAACGGCTAGAATTGCACCTTTGAAGCTACAATTTTGCTGCACTGCGCCCGTAGCTGTGCAATCAAATTGGGATGCGCAAACATACCGTAAAAATCGGCCCCAGTGCGACATCGATTTTTGGTCAAAGTCAAGTCAAATATAAAACCTCATCAAAGTTTTTTCAATGAACCCTTTTAATGACATCCGTCCTACCGGTAGTACTGTACTGAAAGGCACTGCTTGCAGGTGTGGCCACATCGATTACAATATATGCAGGTGGACTTCGACATACATTTAGCTAAATATTAGGGAATGACTCTCTTTTCACACACATTTACGATGAGGCTAAAAATGTCGGCAAAAACTTTTGCATTAGGTAATCGGGAGTGCCTGCAGCGAGCGGCTACGCAGATGGCCACGTCGCAACCTCATGCACCCTGGAGTCCAGGGCCTGGACGAAGACACATACGCCCTTTGATGCTCCTCTGGAGCTGGTGTTGTCTAAGCTCGGAATATTTGAGCGCCTCGTTTTCAGGACACGCGGCTCCCTTTGACGAAAGTTGAGAAAAGTCGCTGAAAGGTTTTGCAGCTTCGTCGAGATGAGACAGCACCGTCACTGTGTTCGCTCAGCAGGTGCGTGTCTAAATTGCAGCACAAGTGAGCATCGTTTTAACTTGCAAATATGTGTACTGTACTGTACTGACACGTTTAGCTGATTGCAGTGTGCCATAAATGTCGTTGACATCAAGGCAGTCTGCCCACGAAATGGCAGCCGCTGTTGAAGCGCGAGTTGTTCTTGACAATATTGCGGATCTGCTCGATGGCCATCGGGATCTGCGCCGTTACCGACTGCACGAGCACTCGTTTTCGCAGTACGTGAGACCCACAACGACACGGCCCTCAGCCGTGAGATTGGCTTGAATGTTGCGGCCATTGGTAGCGTTGCCCGTGACACCGCGAAGGAAGAACACGGGCAGCTCGGATTCGGGGACGGAATCTTCATTTTCAGAGGTCTCAACAAATGATGTTATCTGTGTGTCATCGTTTAAGTCCAGCATCAAATTGTGAAGGACAATCGTCGCCATAACCACGTGCATCGTTTTAACCAGTGTATTCTCATCTATCACAGTTTGCAATACACGAAAACGGCCCTTCCAGAGTCCAAACGTGCACTCTACTGCCATTTCGAGTGCTCGAGTGAAGAAAATTGTACCGACGTTGCTGCGAATTCAACTCCCCACCTTCTTCCCGCTCTGCAAACGGTACCATAAGATATGGCAGCAATGCGTAGCCAGAGTCACCGATGGTATGAGTGCCAGCAGGGATAAATGAACAAGCATCGCGTCCAATTATACTATGCTTCCAGCATTTACTATCAGACCATGAACCAGGACGAATCTCCACACTCATGAACTTGTTGCTGACTGATACTATAGCTTGAATATTTATAGCAGGATAGCCTTTTCGACAGTAAAATCCTTCATAGTCCTCCGGCCGATCTATTTGGAGCAGCGATCCGTCGACTGCCCCAACTACGCCAGGATACCATGAAATCCTTCTGAGCCGCATCCAAACCATCTAGATCAGGATATAATGAGACGACCTAATTCGAAACTAAATCCAAAACGCGAGCAACTTCGTTAGCGATGTCAATCACGTAGCTTTTGCGCATTCCCACTGCTGTTGCAGTTTCTCGGTAGCCACCAGACGACGCGAAAAAGTAGGGAGCTGCTGCAATTTTTATCTCGTACGAGTGCTGCTTGACCACAGCATTTGCGAACAAAAGACCACGTAGCTTTAACAGCTATGCAATAGCAAGAAACGACGCCTTGGAACACCGAAGATGCTGTGAAACCCCCCCTCACAAGTAGAGTCACAGAGCAGCCTCTCGAAATGTAACACAGTCACAGTACGTCGCTGTAGTACCTCATCCCCGTGCCGACTGCATGCGACCAGAGCGACTACGTTGGCAATGAGTGCTGCGATGAGGAGAAACACGTCCTCTCTGTCCATTTTTCTCTAGAAACTCGATGTTTATCCAGCCTCCTCCACCTTCCAAAGGTGGAGGATAATAATGACATAATCCTCCTGTTGTGCTATCGAGAGGTAATTTCATAAGCCTGTCGAGGCATTCTCCGGATGGAGAACTGACGCGACCACGCCCTTAGCCATGGGAGAACAAGCAGCCACGAAACACGATTCCAGTGTAGAACCTGAGCTTACCAAGCCACTGAGGACAATAGCACATTAGAACACGATTGCACGGATGGCGGACCAGCCGCAAAATACACGGGGGACGCTTGGGGTGACCACGATTGCACACGGTGGAGCACGATGCCATTGTAGAACACGATAACACGCGCAACGCAGATGCACTACGCGAGCACAACACCATAGACACCACGATTGCACGATAGCGTGACAACGTGGTCGATGGAACCTCACCAGGAGAGCACGTTACACGGGCGACGGAACAACACGACTGCGTGGAGGCCCCAAACCATGGAATAGCACATTTCGGTTAGAGTACCGGCGATTGGAGGGCAACGGTCACGAAAGACGGAGTACTAAAGAGCATGATCTCACAAGAGAGAGCGCATAACCACCAAACAGCGTGGGCAACGCGTGAGCATGGAGCGTCGAAGCCAAGAAGAGAATGGAAGAGCGCGAGCCATTGAAGAACACGACATCCAACCTGTAGTACGGGGTAGCGGAAACGTACCAAACCACGATATGGCACGGGGCCACATGAGATTACGGAAAGGTAAGTGGTTGACTGCACGAAGCCACGGCGTACTAAAGTGAAAGACGCTCACAAAGCACGTGACACCAAGAAGCACTTAACTTTGCGGTCACCTCATCTCCAACAAGCCATGCCACTCCGCCGCGTAGCGGCGGCGGCCGGCTAGCTAAAGCTCCTTAATGAAGTGTGGTGTCCGTCCGTCCGTCCGTCTGTCCGTAACGGGCTAGGGTTAATAATCCTCACGCAAATACGTGCGGTCTACTGGCTGCCGAGCGCAGCGAAGGCGGCGTCGATTCTCTAAAATTAAAATATGTGGTGTACACATTGTATGTGGTCGACATATACGACTTAAATGCACCGTTCAAACTACTTTATGCCCCCATTTTCAACCGCGGAGCGCCACAACACGCAAAGGGTGATGCCTGTGTGCACGTTAGTTAGCATTAATAGGAGGGGTCGATGAGCACACACGTACTATATGGTCTTAGCAGCTGTTAATAGGACCTGGCTACGCATATTTCGTATTAAATAGATATGTAAGTACTTTTTGCTAAGAATATGATCTGCGTAGAATTGTTTTTTAATAATGCTACTATCAAAATTGTTGTGCTTAGTACAAGTCTAATTATAACTCATATTTTTGCTTGTAGTACAGTACTGCACCCCGTTTTCGCGCCCTTGGACCTTTGATAAACTTCCGGATGTGATGCTCCTGAATCCAAATGACCCTTTGTTTGTCTGCTAAAATCTGATTGATTTGCAAATCCTATTTCATCCACCCCCGCGAAAACGGGGTGCAGTACTGTAGTACATGTACCGTAGTATCCCGAAACAGGTGAACCAAATATGATGAATTCCCAAAATCTATCGAAATAAATAAATTTAATAAAAATTGTGCTCTGCAGGCAAAACGAGATTAAATTTGCTAGATTTATTGGTGGATTTACGATAATGCGAGTTCAAAAACCGTTATCCACAATCATTTACAGTAAAACGGCTAGAATTGCACCTTTGAAGCTACAATTTTGCTGCACTGCGCCCGTAGCTGTGCAATCAAATTGGGATGCGCAAACATACCGTAAAAATCGGCCCCAGTGCGACATCGATTTTTGGTCAAAGTCAAGTCAAATATAAAACCTCATCAAAGTTTTTTCAATGAACCTCGATTACAATATATGCAGGTGGATTTCGGCATACATTTAGCTAAATATTAGGGAATGACTCTCTTTTCACACACATTTACGATGAGGCTAAAAATGTCGGCAAAAACTTTTGCATTAGGTAATCGGGAGTGCCTGCAGCGAGCGGCTACGCAGATGGCCACGTCGCAACCTCATGCACCCTGGAGTCCAGGGCCTGGACGAAGACACATACGCCCTTTGATGCTCCTCTGGAGCTGGTGTTGTCTAAGCTCGGAATATTTGAGCGCCTCGTTTTCAGGACACGCGGCTCCCTTTGACGAAAGTTGAGAAAAGTCGCTGAAAGGTTTTGCAGCTTCGTCGAGATGAGACAGCACCGTCACTGTGTTCGCTCAGCAGGTGCGTGTCTAAATTGCAGCACAAGTGAGCATCGTTTTAACTTGCAAATATGTGTACTGTACTGTACTGACACGTTTAGCTGATTGCAGTGTGCCATAAATGTCGTTAACATCAAGTCAGTCTGCCCACGAAATGGCAGCCGCTGTTGAAACGCGAGTCGTTCTTGACAATATTGCGGATCTGCTCGATGGCCATCGGGATCTGCGCCGTTACTGACTGCACCGAGCACTCGTTTTCGCAGTACGTAAGACCCACAAAGACACGGCCCTCAGCCGTGAGAATGTTGCGGCCATTGGTGGCGTTGCCCGTGACACCGTGAAAGAAGAACACGGGCAGCTCGGATTCGGGGACGGAGTCTGCCTGGCTGATGTCTGCCTGGCAGACATCACCTCCTGGACCTTACGATTCGGCGCTGTTGACGACCAAGCCTGATCTTCCCGACACCGTAAGAGGTGAAGATCGCCCTATGCACGGTCTGTACCGCCGTCTTCACCACCGTCTTCAGCTCAAGCTTTGAGCCTCAAGGTGAACCGCTCACCTCACATCATTGCAACTCGAGTGCCCACAGTCCTTTTCACCTCGAGAAGATCAAGCCCTCCTCCGTCATGGCGGTCCGATTCTTCCACCTCGCAGTGGCCGTCGCTGCCGCCTTCGTCGTCGCCGCAGACTCCGTCCCCGAATCCAAGCTGCCCGTGTTCTTCTTTCACGGTGTCACGGGCAACGCCACCAATGGCCGCAACATTCAAGCCAATCTCACGGCTGAGGGCCGTGTCTTTGTGGGTCTCACGTACTGCGAAAACGAGTGCTCGGTGCAGTCAGTAACGGCGCAGATCCCGATGGCCATCGAGCAGATCCGCAATATCGTCAAGAACGACTCGCGTTTCAGCGACGGCTACCATTTCGTGGGCCACTCACAGGGTGGCGGTATCGCCCGTGCCGTGGTGGAGAACATGGACGATCACAAAGTGCACTCTCTCGTGAGTCTAGCCGGCATGCAGAACGGCATGTTCTACGGCCCACAGGCAGAGGACGTCGTGCCGCTCTTCATCATGGTAAACGTGCTCGGACCCCAGCTGCTGACGCCCGATATCTTTGACTTCTCTAGCTACACCGCAGCGGACTGGCGTGGCAAGTTCCAGCACGATCTGGCCCAACTGGACGCGAACCAGACGCTGCAGGCGAAGTACTCGCTTATGAACATGAACCGCGAACCGGCCGACAACTATTTCATTGCAAACAACAAGTACCTGCCGTACCTCAACAACTTGAATCACTGCGACGACAACGATTTCCGGTGCAAGTTCGACAAGATCCGTCGTAAGAGCAACTTCTTACGCCTCAAGTCTGCCCACTTCGTCGCGAGTCCGAACGACGGAGTTGCTGCCCCGTGGCAGCACTCGCTATTGCAGCGATACACAGCCGTGGATCGATTGACGAGATTGCAACCAAGTTCGAGGAGTTCACCGTCATGGATATGGAGGATACAGTCGAGTACAAGAGCGACGCCAACGGTCTGCGAACGCTAGATGAACGTGGCGACCTGCATCGCACGGTTGTCGCCAACATCTCGCACAACTGCTGGATCGTCGACGGCGTGCGCCAACGTCGAGTGCTACTGGGAGCCTGTGTGGAATCAGTACATCTACCCAGCTTTACAGTGAAGCATGCCATAACGAAAAATGCAAAACTTAGTGGTAAGGTAAGCTGCCACAAATACAAGCAAAGTCTTTTTTGCTTATTCACTACTTTGTAAAACTTGTTTTGATGCATACGCACTCTAGGCGTTGCACGAGGTGGCGCCCAGAGGCTCCACGCCCAGAGCCTCGCACATCTTGGTGAAGTACGTGATACGTTGTTGCTCGTTCGACGTGTTGGGAGCGTCCGGACCGCACTCCAGACCACCGTTGATGATATCGGTGGATTGAGCGAATCCGTTCTCACCGGCGACGATGTCGTGGATCACACGGCCGCCATGCGGAGTCATCCAGTACCAAAGCGCAGTCATCCACGTCACCGTCGTGTCTGTCGCGACGATGTCCGGGTTGTTTAAGAGATCAATGCCCAGAGCTTCGCCAGCATTGTAGTAATTGTAGTTCCATGAGAGCTGAATGGGGCCACGGCCGTGGTAACGACGACCGGGGGCACACGTGTAGGTAGTGTTGTCGCAGTACTGCCACACCGAGTAGGTGTCACGGGCGTACTCTTCCGCGGCCTTGAAGCTGTCGCACTCGTGAGCTGTTTGAGCCAGGAACGCTGCCAGCTCACGCTTGTCATTGTCGTCGTTGCCCGTATTAGCGAATTCGCTGTACTTGCTGGCCGCATCCACAAGACCGTTGAAGTTGTAGAGCTCCACAGCGTCCGGGAAAACCTCCTGGAAACGATCCTGATCGAAGAAGAGCGCGAAACTCGAGCTATCAGCGTCACCAGAGACCGCAGAAGGCACAACCAGAAGACTTGACGCGATAACCCCGACGAATTTCATGGCTGACTTGGGTTGATAGGCTGATTTGGCTGCTTGCTTGGTTGGAGGTGAGAGTGAAAGTGAGGATCGCTTAGGCGGTTAGAATAGCGAGCGGCGGGAATTGGTCGGCCACGGAAAAGCCCGTCACTTCATCGATGCAGTCAAGATGTCAACAAGATCTTTCAGCAGTCAGTACATTGTACATGTACAGTACCATCATGATATTTGATGTCATGTTCTAGAACACACAATATCTGATGATCTCTGGATTTTGTCAGCAAAAACGAAGAAAACGAATGCACAGTACATAAATAAATGAGCACTCATTTATTTATTACAGTCAGGGGTTAAAGGTAGCTCCAAAATCGGTGAAGTTATTGTGCTTTCAGGCTAAATTTACATTTTCGGGGCTATTGCCCGAATCGACGACAAATCGACCAAGAGTTTTGATTGGTCAAAAGCCAGATTTGCATCACGATCACCATTCTTCAAATTGCCACTCCTGAATTGCCGCGCTTCCGAAGAGGTTAAGTTGACCGTGTCGCTTGAGTTTCCGTTCTCTAGCTAACAAATGAGTACGTCTACATGCTACAGATCTACCTGCCTGTCATTCCCATTGCCGTTTAGCGTCCGGAATGGAAGACGCCGTTATTCGGCAGCATGCCCACCCGAATACAGTTTTTCACTGTCTCTACGGATTTTACTGTCTCGGATACTCGCGCTCACAGCTTGCCCACATTTATCAAAAGAACGTTAAGACCATCGGAAATTGGATTAATGTGTACGAGCGGACAGGGACGTACCAGCGGGTAGACGCTAATGCTATTCGAAAATTCACAACTGCTCATCGGGAGTGGCTGTGTAATTACTACGCAGTCCACCCCTTAGCTTATCTGGATGAGGCCCGTGATGCATTTGTTCGTGCACACCAACTGAGCATTTCTATATCATCTGTGTGGCAGATTATTCACGATGGGGGCCTTACAAGAAAAGTTCTCGAACGGAGGGCTATGCACATCAAAGAACTTGATGTGTTCCGGTTTGTAGAAGAGCTCAGTCATGTCAACTGGTTCTACCGTAACCTTGTCTTTCTCGACGAGGTTTCTTTTGACAACCGGGGCATGATCAGAAAGCGCGGATACTCGCTAAGAGGGCAAACAATAGCAATACGCGGAGATTTCCAGCGTAAACCAAGAGTATCGGTGCTGGCGCTCATGTGTGTTACCGGTATTCTCGATTACTATAACTGCGATGGGACTTTTGATCGCGTGCAGTTCTTCAACTACTGTCGTGATTTCGCTTACTCAGAACGGGGGCATGTACGCCAGTATCCTGGCTCAAACTCTGTCTGGATAATGGACGGTGCCTCAATTCATCGTGATCCTGAAATCATCCACTTCCTACGGAGCGTTGGAATCGTACCAATATTTTTGCCTGCTTACTGTCCATTTTTCAACCCAATCGAATTCATGTTCGGATACATCAAGCAGTCTTTTAAGAGACACTATAATGAGTCAAGCAGCAATGATCTTTTACCATTTGTGGTAGAAACGTTCGATCGATTCATTGGCTTCGATATGGCCAAGGTATTTGAGCATTGCGGCTGGAAACGGGAAGGATATTTTGACCCTAGTGGGTCACTGGAAAAAGAAACACGACAGTGTCAGTTTTCTGAGAACAGCGAATTGCAAGCAAACGAAGGAAGTGAAGCGCTAGATTTTACGACAAGAGAGCTGGTCGAAATGTCTGAATGCTAAGCGAAAAATAAATTTCCAGCTTCGAACTTACTCTTGGTGCTCAGTATCCTCAATATTTTCCATTGTAGAGGTCGGATCAAGGACATCACCAGCATCAGGAAGAGGGATATCAGCAAGAAATCCCTCAATCGTGGACTTACGCACTTCCAATGCGTGCCTTTGGTTTTCTAAGCGGCGCCCGTATGCTTCCCATCCCTTTCGGAGATCTGCGTTATCAGCTAGAGCAGCTTCGATCGTGTCTAGTGCCACACGTGTCGACCTAGTCAGATTCACCAGGTGTTCGTGGACTTGCCCGTCGGAAGGACTTAGATAACGTTCCAGTCTAGAAGGTGGGTTGTCCAGCAAAGCAGCATCCCAGGTAGAGCGGTCCAAGTTACGCATGATTTCGTTGGCCCACATTCTCCATACTGGCGCACTTGCTTGGTATGTGTTTCCCCAAATTTCTTGCAATCGCCCCACTATCTCACGAACAGATATCTCTGCTGCAGCACCAGAACGATCGGTGTGCTGCGGGCGAATGCATGCCTGCATAAACTCGTCCAGAACTCGCGCGTTGGAAATCCCCAGCCCGTACTCATATATCATCAATGTTACAGTGCTCCCACGTTGGGATATGGTCCACCGGTTCCAGAGCTCTGGTGTCTTAGCTGATGGAACGATACGGCTGTTAGCTTTGAGCTGCATTACACTGCTCCATGATGTTTCCTTAGGGCGTTCAACTGACCAAACATCATCGACGTTTTTAGCTTGTCCTTTGACGTGGCAGCTAAACTTCTCCCATAACTTGTGCATGATCTCACTAAAAGAAGCACCATTAGCAGCAAAAATGTCCAGCTGCTTGCCGGACGAATCGCGTTGACCGACTGTAGTCTTGACAATCCCTTGGACTACCAGCTGCAATCGATGCTGGTCGGCGTTTCCGGTCGAAGCATCTAATGATACACGAGCCCGCTGGCCTCGAGAGATATCTGAAGCTTGGAACGCTTGCGGAGGCGTTCTCTCACGCAGAGGGTACGGTGAAACACGAACCGTTAAGGGCGAAGTCGAGGATACTGCAGTTCGCGAAATAGGCTCGTTTCGGGGCGGAGAAAGCCTATACTCTGATAAGGCGTCGTGCCCGACACTCGAGCTTGGTCCTGTAGCAAAGCTGCGATCTTCAACGCCCTCAATCATATTGCCGATTGTGGCAGGTCGCCATATTATACTTATTGAGATGCATGAAAAATGCTATTACGTAGGTTGCGCGATTGCTTGTTGGTTGATTCGAAGAACCGCGCACGGAAATTTTGAGTAGAAACCACAATAATATTGTGAAAATATCACCGGTAGACCAGTTAATACAAAAAATATCACCTAATATTTTATTCTGAGACAATATGATATTATTAAATATCAACTTAATATTAGTTAATACGATATTATATTTTTCAATGATTGCGTAGTCAGGCTACATTAACTAATCAGATGTCGTTAACGCTCGACTAGCTGAAGTATTACTAATCAACCGTGAGTACCGGGACAATTGTGAGTGACGGCAAGGTTGGCGTTGTGTGTTGGCACTGCTGAGCGCATTAATCTAGCGTTACGAGCTGCAGATTTATTAGACGCACGATGTGGATGAGGCTATCGGTAGAGAACAAGAACAAACACCTTGATTTCGCTCTACCGACATTAAACAACTACAAGCGCTTGCAGTTTTCCATCTCGATCGCCTTTGTCTGTGTCACAGTGAAATACTAGAGCAAATACTCGTCAGTCTTAAAGCCTACTGCTTTTCTAGAACCTGATCGAAAAAGTTATTTGGCTCCGCTCGGTTCACAGAGGATAGCTGGCAAGAAACGTACTTAAGTGGGAAAATATCATAAAATATCATGTAGTATCTAATATTTTTCAGTTCTCCGAGCTAATATAAAAATATTATGTTAGCTTTTGCAAAATTGAGTTACTATTAATATTTACTATCATAAATAGTACTATTACTATCAAAAAATATCATATTATATTTGGTTACCATTAGCCCCTGACTATTAAAGAA